TATATATATATTTATTTTTGGTACCGGGGATCGAACTCAGGTTCTCGCGTTTACAAAGTAGGCGGCGAAACCACTGAACTAAATCCCCAGCCTAAAAATACAATTTTAATAGATACTATTTACAACAACATGGAAAAATATTAGATAGGAATAGAAGATGGAAGGCCTCTGCAGAGAAAACCACAAAACTTTGATGGGTCCTCACAGATATGACTGTATCCACAAGCTATAAGAGTCCATACCGTTGTAGAATCCAAGAGACAGGAGAGACCAATGGGAAACGGGGAATTTATTTAGGTTTTAGGTAAACATCAGCTCAAGGGACTAAAGTCCAAGGAAGAACAGAGAACAAAGGAAAGATTCCAGTTTTAATACATTTGGCCCAAGGGGTTGTTGGTCTTTCTAGTGATGTAGCAAGTGAGTTTACATGCAACAGGACAAAGGCAGACAGTTTTAAAAATTTAGTCTTGAAAGAAGACAAAGCCTTATGAATCTTACAAGAGGACTTAAACTTTGTTCACAGCACACAGTTGCCAATTTCATCTGTACCAGAACAAGGAGTTACAGCTCTAGGGGAAGGAAAGGGGGCTGTAATGTGGAGGGGCTGGCCAAATGGGGAAAATGGTTTTTCTTTAGGTCCGGTTTCAGTATGATTAAGAAGATGCCACTCTACATTCATAAATGTATTAGAATCCCAGCAGGGTGGATGTAACCTGAGAATTGAATATAAAATATATAAGCAGGTGCAAAGGACCAAGAAAAGCCAGTTCTGAACACACCAAGGAAGGTTTGTTCTGCCTGCAAGCTGTACAGTGACAGACCTAGCACAGTATCAGTATAGCAACGCACAAATGGCTTGGAGGAACAGACACCAGACACAGACCCACAGCAGCACTGAGGGTACAGATCCATTTCAATCAGCAGGGTGGGGCCACACAAAAACTCGATTCCCAACGTACACACCATCCCTTCCGGGAGACTGAAGCTCTGCCAAGGGGACAAGCACAGGACCTGGCCTACATTTCCTACGACCAACCAGAGGTGGAGCCAAACTCATCCATGCAAAACCAAGAGTTTCTGCTCCTCCAAAGAAAGGCCGCACCTGCCAGATATTCACAACATGTATTAGAGAAGATCTCTCTTCTCCCTACCCGCCTCCTCCACAAGGAAGAGAGACCAACAATCACGGAAAAACATCGATTGAACAGGTAAGTCACAAAAAGCAAATAAACACGTGAAATGATGTTCATCCACTGCAGTAACAAGGCAGATACAAATCAAAACCACCTAGTGACATTCATGTACCCACTAGATTGAAGTTTGGGTGGGTATAACTTGACAATAACTTTGAAAAGCAATTTGGCATAATTCTAATACCCCTACAATTCCACCTCTAGGTATCCTACCCTTGAGAAATGCACATTTACAAGCCTCCAAATACACACACGATAGCAGGGATAAGTGAAAATTCTAGCTATCACCTAAATGTCTGCCTATGCCAGGTTAAGTGGTGTGTGATCAGAGAAAGGAATACCACGCAGGAGGGAAAATTAAACCTCATCCAATGCAACTTGGACCAATCTGTGGAGGTGCCAACCGCAAGAGACAAACCTATCACATCCAAAACAATAACTTTACATCAACTCAAGTTGGCCAACTCCAGTTCTCCCGTTTAGCAATACTGATTCCCCAACATGAGGAGGGGAGAGGAAGCTGAGGTTAAGGGTGGGGTCCTGGTTCTGAGGAGTAAGCGTTTTTGACTTCTCCACTTTTGAGGATTACAGAAGGGGTCGCTTTGCCGTTACTCTAAGCTGAAGTGAATCACACTATTGCACGCACTTTATGGATAAACGAAGACCAATCATAAACAGTATAAAGACGTAAAAGTAATACAACAGTTGCTGAGAAGGTTTAAACGAGTATGGTGTTTCAATGTTTTTCAAAACTCAAGTTTACTTCGTACGGAATGATGCGATTGTGACCTTTAAGGGGGAAAAAAAATCTGACAGAACCACTAACTACAACCACGCAAAACCAGCGTGTTAGGTTTCAGAGTGATCTCAGACCCGGGTACTGGACAACGCAACACCGCCAACCCTGGCCAGCATCCCGCACCCACTCGCCCTAGGGCTCCGGCCCAGACCCCACCCGAGTCCGGGCGGAGCAGGCCCAGGAGGCGAGGTTCCAGACCCCAAGGGGTCCGGCGCCCCCGCCTCACCTCATCCACCGCACGGCGCGGGAGATGCAGCGTCCCGAGCAGCAACTTGAGCTTCACGGCCGACGAGAGACGGTGAAAGCAGAGGCGGATGTTGTCGATGACGGCAGCCGTGAGCAGGGACGCGATGCTGGGCGGCGCCCACAGCTCGTCCGTGGCGCCCAGCTTGTTGTGTAGCCACAGGCCTGTGTCGCTCTCCCGCATGGACGCCATCTTGGGGGCCGCGGCGAGCGCGGGCCGGCACCTTGTGCTGACGCCTACACG